GCCCCCTTGGCAACATTTACTCTGCCTTTGCTTTCTTACGTGTAGACAATACAGCTGCTTAAAGAGCTCTAAATCTTCCTGTTAAAACAATGCTGAGCTGCGCGACAGATGCCCCAGTGCACCTTGGGACGCATGCATTATAGCGCCAGCGCTGCCAACCGTGCAAGGCAACTTTTCAGTGCAGGGTCTGTCCTACCGGCTCGACACACCCAAACAGAGAGTCAACACAAAAGAGCCGAGGCCGAAGGAGAAATACCGGGCTGAGCGTTTGGCCAGCACAGAGCACAGGGATGGCTCCCCCAGGTCATGCAGCAGGTTGGCATTAAAGCCAATGTTAGATGCTGTGTCATATGATTGCCAGGTGTGTGTCCTAGCCGCTGGACCAATGGTTTTCAACCTTTTTCATTTGCAGACTCATGAAGGTGCGCCCCTCCCCCCTTTGAAAACTTTAGACATAGTCTGCGGACCCCAGAGGTCTGTGGCCCACAGGTTTCAAACTACTGCACTAGACAATGCCGCCTCTCCTCCCCACAGCCCCGGGGGGAGTAAGTAACATGGACAGATCTCTGAAATGCAGCCACCTATAGTTTAGGGGAGAAGGTGGGGAAGGAGATGGGATAAGGATGCTGCGTCTTTCAGGAATGTGGTCTGGTTTCAAAGTAGGGCTCCGGGTTCTGATACTGTATGACCTTGGGCAGGTAAGCTGACCTATCCGTGCCTCAGTTTACCCCCTAATCCACCTATCAGAGTAGGAAAAGCCCAGTCAGGGACTCGTGGTCTCTGTGCAATTGTAGTAACAGAATGTGCACATTGATTCATAGCTGGCAAGGCTAGAAGGGACCAGTGCTGTGTATCGCGTATGCCAGAGAACTTCTCCGATAAAATTCCTGGAACAGATCACTTACAAAAACATCCAGTGGTAATTTAAAAATTGTCCATCACAGAAGATCCGCCACAGCCACTGGAAATCATTCCACCAACTAATTAACCTCGGTGTCAAAGTTTACACCTTCTTTCCAGTCTGAATTCGTCTAGCTTCAGCTTCCACTCACTAGACTGGGTGAGACCTTTTTCTGGCCAAGTGAGGTCTCGGGCTGGGTTCTTCAAGTGCCCAGCTCCCATGTCGGCAATCAAATAAGAGTGAGACGGTCCAAAGATTGTGTCGTATGGGTATCGCAGCAGGTTTGGAGCACTGCTGAAAATCTGAGCATTGCCAGTCCTTGCAATGTTTGGGGTCTCCCTTACAGCCCCAGCTCCGGAATCATGTGAACAAGGAGGAATTTCCACATTGGTTTAAAAGAGGGAAAAAAAGCATCCGGCATATTGCAGAGAACAGCTTGAGAACGTGGCCCAAGGCTCAAAAGCCAAAGGGTAAATAAAAGAATCCAAAGATTTAGACCTTCCTGGCATGCAGGTACCTAATTCCCTGCTCTACACCAGCCTTTCCTTGTCCCGACAGAATGCCTGATTGCAGTCAGTGGCAAAACGCCTGTGGGAGTTGAAACTGAACCAAACATCCATGCCGGCTGTTGCCTGTGGAGCCTCGGACACAAGGAAAAAATCAGGGAGAAAATAATCTCTGGTTTGTAACAGGAGGGATGACCTCTAGGTCCTGGCATTTCCTGGCAGTTAATGATCGAGGGGCCTAAGGCCCTTAACCCAGGTGGCTGGGAGCCAGTGGCAAAACGCCTGTGGGAGTTGAAACTGAACCAAACATCCATGCCGGCTGTTGCCTGTGGAGCCTCGGACACAAGGAAAAAATCAGGGAGAAAATAATCTCTGGTTTGTAACAGGAGGGATGACCTCTAGGTCCTGGCATTTCCTGGCAGTTAATGATCGAGGGGCCTAAGGCCCTTAACCCAGGTGGCTGGGAGCCGGCAGGAAGCTGTGGCTGGCCCCCGCTCTCCCCGCCCAGCTTGGGCTAGGCAGAGCATTAGCATGGGGCTGGCCTAGTCATTGTGCAGGCCTACTGCTCTCAAAACACCCGCCTCCCTCCCGAAAGCAAAGGCAAAAAAAAAGGAAAGAAAGCATGATGGGAAAAGTCAAGGGGCACGCATTGTCTGAGCCACCGCAGCACTCGCTGGCCTCCCAAAGGGCCTTTGCCTAGCAGCTGGGTAGCAAAAACCTTGTCCTAGAAAACAGGAGGCAAGCCAAGAGCTGTAAGCGAATCCAGCTAACACTGAGTTATAATATACAGCTCCCACCTTAGTAGGGGTGCTAGGGACCTTCCTTGCTAGCCAGCACTACTGTATAATACAGTCCCTGCATCTGCCCTGACTTGGAATATTTCTTTCAAACTAAGATT